TACGGCTACAATGTGGTATATTAATATTAGTGTAGTGGGATTCTGGTATATATATTACCTTGGCTAGGTAATACACTAATTATAATATTATAGCATATGGACCATCCATTTGGGATTGAATCTAGTCCATCCATTCTTGTATAGAAGTAAAGGTTTAAACCCTAATTAATATACCTATTCATTGGAAGAACTGAAAGACATTGCAATTTGTCATTAAAAGATATAGTTTTTTGGCAATGCTTTACTCTAGTATTTTTATTTTTATTTCTTCATTTTATTTTAGATCTAAATCTGTATTAATTTTTTGCAAGATCTAGAATTTTAACTATTGTTGTGTTTAGATTTACTCTTTCTTTTAATCTTTATTGCATTATCTTCTTCTACTATGCCACACTATCATCAATTAAAGAGTGTGTCATTTGAAGCTATTAATGTTGTTTTTTTAGATCGAACTTTTGGTGTTATAGAGTATTATTTTATTAGTGCTACACCCATGTAGTCTCCAACTTCCATAGGATAAGATTACACAACTTATTTTGTTTTCGTTATTCTACCATTTTTCATTGATATGGAGCAAGCTATGGATGATGCAGTTTGGTTGTTGAAAAATGTTTGAGGATCAAGTTTACAGAAAGATAATACTTACGAGCTTAAATAAATTTCAGATTGTGATGAAAAATTTGATTATTATAGAGATAGCTTTAGAGATGAGTTAAAGATTTTATGGCGTAAGCGTTAATCCTTCAATTTGCCATTTAATATTTTCTCTTTACCTTTTATTCTGTCCCAACCTTTTCTTATTTATTAGCTTGAGCCACCTTCTCATATTCCTAGTGTTTCTTCCTTATCTGCAATATTTTGTTTTCCTAACACGTCGATTATTTATGACTTTTATGATTTTCATTCTCAATTAGTGTTGAATTGAGTGTTTTTTGTCCTCCTAATATTGATCTAGATATTGAGTATTCCCATGTTTCAATGGTTGAGTCACTTTTGGCTAGAATTTCAAATTACATCCCCACTTTTTAATGTTGTTGACAGAATTATCGATGAGTAGGTATAGTTCTTTTGCTTTGGTTTAAAATTATGGCTTTGAGGTTTATTTAAGCATTTGGTAGTTGTATATAAAGTTGCAATTAGTTCGTTAGGATTTTGCAGTCAATTGATGCTTATGCTATATTTTTAGGTTTTATTTCAGTCGTAGTTCAGAATGAGCAAAAGTTCACTTGATCCATATGCAATAAAGATTAAATGGATGCCACTATATGGATTTATGATGATTTAGGTCTAGTCATGAATAATTGATTGACCTTTATTTGTCTTAGCCACTTTTAACAAGAATTCAAAGAAATCTTTGCTAATTTATATGATTATTAATAAAATATTACTGGCAGATAATCATCTAGTTAAAGTCAAATAATTTATCAAAATAATGGCTCATAAAATTTTGTAATTATTTAAACATAAAAATCTCATAAATTAAGAGTCATTGCATTGGAAAACAATAACAGCCCTTCAAATTATATTAAATTTAGATCATCTAAATTGTAACACAAAACCACTAAAAATAATATACACAAAAATAATATCATTATCCTGAACTGCTGTCTAGGTATATTATAATCCGGCCGAATAGAATATTTGCAGTCCGTGGAGTATATAAATCCAAGACGGCGCTAGGGCATTTCTTTGGGGGCCTCTGGCGGTTGAGCTCGGGAGGATTGCTTGCCTGTGTGCCCGCTTCTTCCTTCTAACTATTTCTCTCGCTTGTGGCGTAGATGGAGCTGGATCTGGATGGCGCCCATGGTGAGTGATCGCATCTCTCCTTTGCTTGCTTGATTGTTTTGCTGTGGAGCTTGGTTTTTCTTGCTTGGGTGCTTTCTTTCTCCTCTTTGCCGCAAGAAGGCGAAGAGCTCGACTAGATTTCCCACGCCTCCAGCAGCCCACCGGACAAAGTCCGGCCCGACCTGGGGACATCCTGGCTCGGGCGTTTTCCTTTGGAGGCGGCGCCTCCAAATGGGACTCGTGGGTAATTTGCAAGAGGGGGCTGCCGCGCTGGTGGAGGTACTCGGCGAGCGCCTCTACTAGGCTACTGTGGCGGCCTCCACAAATTCCTTAATTCTAAAGAAGCACACACCACCTTTCGCGAGGTGGTCACTTTTCTTAATTTCTACGAGTCTGAATTTGAAGAAAACGCTCTGCTACTTGACTTTTCGTTTTCTTCAAAGAGAGCAAAAATATACGAAGAAAGGTAGTAAATTCCAAGCAACTCCATAACTCCAAGATGGAATTACAGTGTAAAGGAGAATGAAATCCATGCAAGGTTGTAGGCTTTCAAACCTGGTGCTGCGAAGCTTCAGACACAAGCGGCGGCCTCGGCACCAACAAGTCCTCCCATCGCAGGTGAGCTCTCGATCTCTATTTCTCTCGCTCGATCGAGAATGCATGCCCTTGCATGCGCGATTTCTTCTCACGCCATGTCTTGCAGCTCGCCTTGTCTGGTTCCAATGGCTGTCATCGCCAACGTTTGCGGGACTCCCATGAGGAGCGCTCTCATTCCCAGCCATGAGATCCATCTTGCCAAGCCAATCAAGGTCTCTATTTCGGTGAGGAGCGGCAAGGTACCAGCGATTGCGATGACTGCCGCAGCTGAGTATCGATCGCTTTGTTTTCTTTTCTTCTTTCATGAAAGCTTGGATTCTTTTTTCTCTCTTTGCATGCACAGGGAGCGTCGCGAAGCAAGACAGCAGCAAGACTTCGCAGATCATGCACTGGCTCTCTACCGAGAAGATCGAGATGTTTAAGTCGCTCGAGACCTGGGCGGAGGAATCCATCCTCCCATTCCTCCGGCCGGTGGAGAAATGCTGGCAGCCCCAGGACTATCTCCCGGAGCCATCCTCGGAGAGCTTCTATGACGAGGTCCTTGAGCTGAGGGAGCGAGCCGAGAGCTTGCGCTTCTGCCTCGTCGGGGACATGACCACCGAGGAAGCGCTGCCAACTTACTTGACGATGCTCAACACTCTCGATGGCACCCGCGACGAGACCGGTGCGAGCCCGAGTCCGTGGGCAGTGGTGCCTGGACTGCCGAGGAGAATCGCCATGGTGATGTGCTCAACAAGTATCTCTACCGCACTGGACGAGTCGACATGAAGCAAATCGAGAAGACGATCCAGTACTTGATCGGTTCTGGAATGGTAAAGAGCCAGAGTTTCTTCTTTCTCGGGAACTCAAAAGTTCGGGTTTTCCATCTTTGCAGGATCCCCAGACCGAGAACAATCCATATCTCGGGTTCATCTACATGTCCTTCCAGGAGCGAGCCACTGCCACACGGCAACACTGCTCACCACGCCAAGGAGCACGGAGACCACCCTCGCGACTGTTTGCGGCCTCATCGCAGCCGACGAGAAGCGGCACGAGAATGCTTACACCAGGATCGTGTTTGAGCACTTCTCTTTAGTGGCACAGAGGACGGGAGTGTAAACTGCCAACGATTACGCAGGAACTCTGGAGCACTTGGTCAAGAGATGGAACGTCAAGTCCATCACTGGACTGTCTGCTTGCGCGCAAAAGGCCCAGGATTTCGTGTGTGGTCTCTAGGCGTAAAAGGTAAAGGTGTACATTACGAGTTAATGTTCCAATAATTTGCTTTGTTTTATTTTGTTTAGACACCATCTAAAATAAAAGAGTTTATAATAAGCATGTGCATTGTTTTATACATTTTTTTTCTTTTGATTGTTTAGGAATTAACCAGTGGATATACATAGAATATATTTGAATATTTGAATATATTTTATTATTCAGCACCATATACTAATATTGGGATTTTGATATCTATTCAAATTGGTGAGTATCAAAATCCCAATATTAGTATATGGCATAACTAGACCTCAAGTAATGACCACTTGCTCTTGTATATAAATTACAATTTTTGGATTAACATTTATGTATTCCAATTTTGTATTTCATGCACCCACCACAGTTAATACTCATTTAAAATTTCTGAATAAAATACATTCTAACTTATTCTACCATCTAATGATTTATGATATTTATATAATTTATAAAATTTGTGAGTAAGTTAGTCACTTTTCTTATTATGGTTTCTCCAGCATTAGTCTTTCAGATGGAGAGGTGATGTCCCAATGTAATCTCTTGTACTGATATCATTGTTCATATGAACAAAGTGAGAAATAATCTATAATTGATAGGAAACAAGAGGTTAAGAAAATGGAAGAATACCACAGATAAATGAATTAAGTATACCTTGAAACTCTTTGACTTTTAGATTCAATAGCAAAGTTTGGTGGTAGCACCATCATTTAGTCAGGTCAATCATCAAGGAAACACATTGGTGTGATGAAAATTGTGTCATATTTTTTCTTTTGGCCATAATTTTTGAGTTTAGATCCATGATAATATAGATCACTAACATGATAATCCGACTGGCTCCAGAATCCAAACCAAGGTTATAAATTGTCCTTGTTTTTTTTAGCAAGATTTAATATAATTGAGATGGCAAAGGAAAAGAGTTTATTGATAACTAATTAATGTCAAGGATAATGCCCTATGAGTGCTTTGTGAAGGATTTCACAACAAACATGTATTGTCTCTACTTGTTAGCAACTGTTTATAATTGTATTATATTTTAACTTGACTATGAACTCTTATTAAATTAAAGGGAATTAACATTTTCATTTCCACAATGTTTCTATTGTATATATTAATTATTTCATATGAGGCAACTAATTATTCATCTATATGGCAGTCTTATAGTAGATAATAGCTCAAAAAAGTCTTAGATCTACATAAAGGATATTCAAAATATCAAAATATTCTCACAGACTCACAAAGTTGGAACAATAATTATATAATTATGATATCTTTTATCAATGGATGCTTTAAAAGACAAAAAACATATTTATAAATACTTAATACTTGTGTCATTTGCCCTAATACCATGATCTCTCTCCCTTTTACCCAATTAAAAAATGGGAAATTATTTTATAAGAAAACCTTTAATGGACACTTTATCTCTATTTTCCCTCTAAAATTTTAACAATCCATAGTGACAGTATATGTAAATATCAAACATATCATACCATATAGCACCTATATATCATTCCACTCACAAAACTTCTTCATCTCTCTTATTTTTCAAAATCACTATTGTTTATTGTCATGCCCACTACAAACTCAATATAAGTTATATTTTGAAATATTTCTCATGACTTAGATCCTTTGTCTTGATCGTCTAATGCAATATAGAAAAAATAAAAAATAAAATGTATATACAAGGAATTATAAGAAAAAACAGTTGATATGGATTTCATTATAAGTAATTTCCATGTATAATAATTCTATACATGTTTATAATGTCAAAATTAGTATCTTATATTTAATAATCTTTATTTGGAGGGGCTAATGTTTTAAAGATAGCTTTTTTATCTATTGTGATAATATGCTGAAAACATGAAAGTTCTACTTCACTTTATTTTTCTTTGAAAATGAAAAACTAGAATTGAAAAAAAGAGCCAATATTGAAAAAAAAAATCCCACATGAAATTTATACTTTATTTATTTTAATCTAGAAAAATAGGTAAATAACACTTGTTTAAAGAAGTTTTTTTCAGTGTTGAAATTAAAGTGACCTTTAGCAAGAATTCAAAGAACTCTTTGCTGATTTATATGATTTTTAATAAAATGTTACTGGCAGATAATCATCAAGCTAAAGTCAAATAATTTATCAAAATAATGGCTCATAATTTTTTTTAATTATTTAAACAATAAAATCAGAGTCATTGCATATAATAGCTCTCCAAATTATATTAAATTTAGATCATCTAAATTGTAACATAAAACCACTAAAAAGACTAAAATAAACAAATTTTTAACTTCTGTCTAGGTATAATCCGGCCGAATAGAATATTCGCAGTCCGTGGAGTATATAAATGCAAGACCTGCGGCGTTAGGGCTTTTCTTTGGGGGCCTCTGGCGGTTGAGCTCGGGAGGATTGCTTGCCTGTGTGCCCGCTTCTTCCTTCTAACGATTTCTCTCGCTTGTGGCGTAGATGGAGCTGGATCTGGATGGCGCCCATGGTGAGTGATCGCATCTCTCCTTTGCTTGCTTGATTGTTTTGCTGTGGAGCTTGGTTTTTCTTGCTTGGGTGCTTTCTTTCTCCTCTTTGCCGCAAGAAGGCGAAGAGCTCGACTAGATTTCCCACGCCTCCAGCAGCCCACCGGACAAAGTCCGGCCCGACCTGGGGACATCCTGGCTCGGGCGTTTTCCTTTGGAGGCGGCGCCTCCAAATGGGACTCGTGGGTAATTTGCAAGAGGGGGCTGCCGCGCTGGTGGAGGTACTCGGCGAGCGCCTCTACCAGGCTACCGTGGCGGCCTCCACAAATTCCTTAAATCTAAAGAAGCCTGCTCTTTTGTTGTTCTTACAAGGTCTCTCTTCTCCAAGTCCAAGAAAATGGATCTCTACTCCACGATGAAGTGCTGGGGATTCAAGCCAAATGCCTTGAAGGCTTGTGCCGCTCTGGCAGCTCTCTCTCGAGGATGGATTGCTTGGATCGGGCCAACGGCAGTGTATTGGACCAAACCTCTTCGTCTCGTAGAAATGTCCCAAGTGTGAGAACTCCGAGGTTGTGTTTGATACTGGTCCATAGTGACGTGGAATTCTTTGATAGTGGTGATGGGGAGCGGCTCTCGAGGCTTTGTGAGAACTTTCACCGCCGCTTGCACGCGAGAAGATGAAACTGAAATCGAGGGGGTCTCAGCATGAAAACTTAATAATTTATTAAATAATTAGGTTTAATAATACTAATTGAAAACCTCGTATATTAAAGAATAATGTTTTTCTCAAACCCTAGCTATGCGCTGGTGCTGGATCTAGACGACACGCTGGAATGCAGAAAGAACTCAACTATGCCTAGTAGCGTTCCTCAGCAAGATGGCGCAGGTATACAAGCTCATAATCTTCAGTGTGTCAGACTCGTAGGACTGTCTCCCGGAGCTATCCTCGGAGAGCTTCTACGATGAGGTCCGTGAGCTGAGGGAGCGAGCCGAGAGCTTGCCCAACGACTACTTCTTCTGCCTCGTCGGGAACATGATCACCGAGGAAGCGCTGCCAACTTACTTGACGATGCTCAACACTCTCGATGGCACCCGCGACGAGATCAGTGCGAGCCCAAGTCCATGGGCACTGTAGTGGCGTGCCTGGACTGCCGAGGAGAATTGCCATGGTGATTTGCTCAACAAGTATCTCTACCTCACTGGACGAGTCGACTTGAAGCAAATCGAGAAGACGATCCAGTACTTATCGGTCCTGGAATGGTAAAGAGCCAGAGTTTCTTCTTTCTCGGGAACTCAAAAGTTCGGTTTCCATCCTTGCAGGATCTCCAGACCGAGAACAATCCATATCTCGGGTTCATCTACACCTTCTTCCAGGAGCGAGCCACCGCCATCTCTCACGGCAACACTGCTCGCCACACGACTGTTTGCGGCCTCATCGCATTCGATGAGAAGCGGCATGAGAATGCTTACACCAGGATCATGGAGAAGCTGTTTGAGATCGATTCGGAGGGCGCAATGCTGGGGCTGGAGGACATGATGAGGAAGAAGATCTCCATGCCGGCTCATCTCATGTACGACGGCCAGGACAAGAACCTGTTTGAGCACTTCTCTTTGGTGGCACAGAGGATGGGGGTGTCCACTGCCAAGGGTTACGCAGGAATTCTGGAGCACTTGGTCAAGAGATGGAATGTCGAGTCCATCACTGGATTGTCTGCTCGCGCGCAAAAGGCCCAGGATTTCGTGTGTGGTCTCCCTCCTCGGATCTTGAGACTGGAGGAGCGAGCTCAGAGCAGGGAGAAGAAGGGCCCCAAGACTGGAACGTTTAGCTGGATTTTCAATAGCGAAGTCGTTCTCTAGGCGTAAAAGGTAAAAGGTGTACATTACGAGTTAATGTTCCAATAATTAAGGCTTTGCAAGAGTCAATTTTGAATGTTTTTTGCAAATTTGAATTTAGGGCATGTGCAATCATTTGCACTGCTGAGGAGCAAAGGCTAGGTGGCTCTTCTGCAAATCAAATCCAATCCGGAAGCTCTGCTGCTGGATGTTGCCGATGATCCCGAGCTCCATGGACGTGGGAGCAAACGCCAGGCAGAAACTCCCGGCAGTGTTGATCGGGATCAAGTAATTCGTAGGAGGGAGCTGGAGATCCGCCCCATTCTCGAAGTGGAGTACCAGCGCAGGCACATCCACGCTCGCCTTCCCGGAGAAATTGTAGCACGTATCGAAGAGCGAGTAGCGTGGAGCCGACGGGAGGTTGATCGTGGCATTCCGGAACGCGTCGCGGATGGTGGCGTAGACCGAGGTCGGGAACCGAGTGACCGAGGTCCCAGAGTCGATGATCACGCCCCCGCTGCCACTCTGCGAGAGCTGGAGGGATTTGAGCGAGATGGGGAGCTGGGCGCCGCCGACGCTCACTCCGATCATGGCCGCGTAGTAGAAGGTGTCCAACTTTGGGTTCTTGAGCAGCGGCGAAAGCGCGGCGGTGGACGGGATCGCGGCGACACCGAATATCAGGCTGCTGGACGAGCGCGTCATTGGGTTGCTGCGATCCACGAGGCAGTAGGAGAAGGAATTCGCGGTGGAGGAGTTCGTCGAGGACGCGAATATCTGAGATGGGAAGGAGAGCTTTCCAGCGCCCAGGCCGAGGAGGCCAGCGGCGCCAGCGAAGAGCCCCTCGTTGTCAAACCCGCAGCCAAACGCGACGCTCATCGCTTTGCTGCCCGTGCCGAGCGTGAAGAGATCGCTGGAGAAATCGCCCACCGAGAAGGATCCATCGCCATACGCGACTTGGTACGAGCAGCGGCTGGTGGCACCGCGGCTGCCACTGCAGCTGTGGACCTCGAGAGCCTTGCAGAGCGGCGAGAGGCAAGGGATCCGCTGGAAGGAGCTCGAGTTCCTTGGATCGAAGATGGGGTCGGCTTGCTTGTAGCAGCTCTTGCATGGCTGGCATTGGAGCCAGGGGAGATCGCTGCCGGTGTCCACCACCATGAAGAGCGATCGAGCCGGAGTTCCAAGGCCGAGGCGAACGAAGTACTCGCCACTTCCATACAGGAGGCCGGAGGTGACGGGTCCATTGAGATCGGTCGAAGAAGCCTCGTCCTTCTTCTTCCCTGCGAGCTTGGCCTTGCTTTCGATCCATCTCACTCGCCGCTCGTCCCTCTGGAGCGTCTCGAGCAGCAGCTGCTCGTGAGTGTGGAGCTTCTCCTTTGCTTCCCGGAGGAGCGAGTTCCTGTGGATGAGTTCCAACGACAAGGTACCACCATCCCGCGGGGAAAGCTGGAGCTTGTTCTCGACGGGGTGGCGGAGCTCTCGCAAAAGCGTGGCGACATCGAGCGTGTTCCAGTGGCGGGGAGTCAGATCTGCGGAGACGAGCAGCGCAATTGTGAGCGAGGCCAACACAAATCCAAACGCGCGCATTGAAGAACACCACATTGACACCAGAGAACCAAAGCCACTGGATGGAAGAACGAACGAATCACGGGCCCAGGAAACTAAAGGCTGCCAATCCAATCCGGTCAAGCAATCATCAAAAGCTAGAGCTCTCACGCGACGAGAATTCAGGACACAGAGGAGAAAAAAGAGCTTCTTAAAAGCTCCACTCACCAGGGAACAAAGAAGGAGAAGAGCTCCTCTCCTCGCCTTCTCGCTTTCGTCCTCCTCCTTGTCAATGCCAGTCGCATAGAAACAAAATTTGCCGGAACAAGAGCCGGGGCTTTCCCCGTGACTGAACAGCGCCGCTCGTGACGAGCCTATCAGATCCTCATCCCTGCCGCTGAACGCCGCCCCCGCCTCGCCCCATTCCCGTGAGCTCCTGGGGGAAGAACCCTAGGACAGCGCTACAGAACAAAATGCCCAGAAGTACTTCCGACTTGGCAGCATTGCATTTTGCCACGTGCTCAAGCTTTCGTACGTCCACATGTCATCATATACTTTTGCCACGTGTACCAGACTCTAACCTTTTTACTTACGTGTGCGTTAAAGGCTTATGGAGAGTATATAGCCAAGCCCTTGTGATGCTTTGCAAGATATGGAGAAGAAAGCTAAGCAAACCCTTCCAGAAAAGGCGGTGGCGTTTGATTCCAATGGAAATTACTACTACTATCCAACGTGGGAGGACATCGTAAAGCGCACGCCTGGGGATTCTCTCCGGACCGTGAGAGCCAGGTTTGAGGATGGTTACTTTCGAATGGTGGTAAAACCCACGTTTACCATGAGAGATGCTCGGGCGGGCATCAGCCCAAGGATCGCTGGAGTGGTAAAACTCGCGACGGCGTTGCAGGATTTCCCCGGGGAGGATTTGCATGGATGGATCGATCCCGACGTGAATGCCGTGCTTTTCAAGGGAGTGAAGAGAGGGGTGCTAAACGAGGAGCGCGGGCGAGGGATTTGCAGGGATGTTCTTGGGCGAGAGGTTGTCAAGGATGCCAAAGGAGAAATCGTGTTAAGGAGAAATCCACGGCGCAAAAGGAAAGAACATATAAAAGCTTATTAAAAGGAATTGCGGTTTTTAGGGTTCTTTGAAACGAATTAAAGGGGTGCTCTGGTTTTATGTTTTAGGGTTTACCAATCTAAAGAATCTTTCTCTTCCACTGCAAGGGGACCTCATAATGATAAGGTACATAACTTAGTTCTTTAGGACCGCGATCAGTTAGTTGGATCTATTACAAGAACGATCAGAATTATTTAGCCAGAAGTTCGCCGGAGCGGAAAACATTCCAACTACACGTACTTTCAGGTAGAATCCAGATTTTGTTCGTGATATGGGGCCAACTAATTAAGCTTTCCTCCGAGTCCAAAGAAAAAAATGAGAGTAATTCACAGTGCACCAGCACCAACTTGATCAAGTTGCCGTCCCGTTTGGCTTGACGGCAACTGCAAATCAAAGGACCTCCTTCATCTCTGCAAGCGAGTGCCAAACAAACAGAATAACAAATGAATTTTTATAAGATACTGTAAAAATTGACGGACCGAAAAGCAACTCGAGGAACCTTTCCTGCTCATACGAAATGGTCACGACCATTTGTCACAGGAGCTCGAAGACTTGACTTGTTGGATGGACGCCTGAGACAAACAAGAAACGAACCAGAGGCGATGAACCATTCTTGAGTTCTCCTTAAATCTCTACAGCCAAGCAATACATTCCGGTGATCGCTCTAAACGAATTTCCTGGAGACAGAGAAGAAGTACCTTCATCCTATTGCTGCAAAACCACACAGGGATAGCTCTCTTGGAGAACTTTACTTTCATCCTCGAGGACCTTGAGTCCAGCACAGCTCACAACTTAGGATCATGGAAAAAATAGAAAGAAACTTTAGTAACAATGTAAACAAAAGTTTGGCTACCAGACACAAACGCTTTCAGCGTCAAGAAACGTCCAAAGCCTTTTAAGATCGACTCGGGCAGATCGACCCGGGAAGCTTTCTTGCGCTTCTAGAAAGGAGCTTCAGAGGATCGCCCCTGATAAAAAAACTCGTTAGTTCCAACTCTTCTTGCTTATCATTCACAATAAGGTCGGACGACTTTGGAAAGAGGCCAAAGCTATCGATGTTATGCCGGAGCGCAACGAGGCTGGACCATCCTCCAAACCCGATCAAAAGGCACAGTACTACTGCCAGATTGCATGCCAATCCAATTCCATGCCGCCTTGCTCTTGGAAGCAAATGGGATTCGTACCTCGATCGCGAGCCGTGATCTTGACAGGCTTGCCAGATCCCATCGATCCCCCACACGGCGCTCATCACTAGCGGCAAGATTGACCTGGGGACCGAGGAG